TACAACAGAGCAGGAAATCGGTTCATTTTTATGTTTTTAAAGTATGACAAGCTGTGGTAGAAACTATCACTTTGACAAAGAACGCGGGAGCGTGACTTCTAAGCAGTCGACGTGGAACCCAAGAAGGCCCCTTCGTCTGGATTTGTGGCCTCTTCTGAGTGTCGCCTTCCCTTCTTCGCGGGTGTAAGGGCAGGGCCCTCCTGCAGCGCGATGGTCCTTACAGCGTGAACAACAGCGTAAGTCAGCATCACAACTTACTTAAGCACGTCTCTTCTACCATAGAATAATCCTTAACGGTTTTCATGCTATCTTCTCTCAGAAAAGGGTCTGCCTTTATGTCCTGGCTTGACAGAAGAGAGATTTGATTTCTGTGGCTAGCTTCAGGAAGAAGTTGACCAGGAAGCAGAGGCAGACCCACGGCCAGGGTCTCAGAGAGAGATTCTTGCATCAGAAGCCCTCCACTTAAGAGGATTTTCTCGAACCCATCATCATGATACTTACCTGACTCTCAGCACTGCAAAAAAGACTTCAGCAGCAACTTTTTCAACGACCTCACCCACAGAATACAAACCAAAGCCTGTAAACGTTTTGCTCCTACTGTGATCGAAGATTAGAGCTGTTTGTAACACCAGACAATCTAGATAGTGCGCAAAGCATTTTTCTCAACTGGCCGCATTTAAGACGTTGAGTACGTGCACTAATTCCTAAAGAGTTAAGCATACTTTGAGATTTTCTTTCGATTTTAACAATCATTTATTTCTTCTTTTTTAAATAAATTACTATAGAAAAGTTAACTGTTTAGGAACTTTTCTCCTAGGCAGAATCTGTCTTATAGCCACATATGTACTCCGAACCTGCCAGCTTGTAAAGAGTAGGACAAAAAGTGGACTAGACCAAGGGAAAACTAAAGCTTCCAATTTAAGCTCCTATAGCTACAACTTCTAGGACAGCTGTGAATCCCTAACAGTACTGTTAATCTCAGATGACAGAAAGGGTGAGTTAGAAACACATTTGTGTACCTTTCCACACACGTTGAAATCAGTGGAAATAAACTGTATCTGTAGTTAGGATTAAAACACCAAAACCAAACTAGTTTCATAAACCTTTTGTCATAAGTTTCTGGTTTTTTGCTCTATCTACTTGGTGTTTTATTTATTCTAATTTGCTGATAATTAGGCATGTCTACATTTTTACCTTAAAATTAAACCCATACATATTTTTTTGTGTATAACTCAGGAGATTTAGCTATTATTAGACCAACAATATTAAATTTCCCTACTTACTAAAAATCATACAAACACAGATCATTTTGTCCTTTGCAAGTTTATAGTTTTCTAACCTTTATGTCAAATCTCAACACCTAAGAACATAAAAATGTCCAGTAAAACCAAGGCAAAATCAAATGTATGCTGACAATTTCAAAACACTTCTACTATTACTGTATCAATAATACCCTTTAAAAAAATAATAATAACCCAGATTATTTACCAAAGCTTACAAAATTCACATGAACCATTTGAGTTTGTTTAATTAATTTATGAGCACTCCCTTATTTTTAAGCCAGTCCAGAATCATGTAAGCACAAACATGTAGTACGTGGACATACACAAAACATATCTAACCATATACTCTCTCACACACATGCACACAGACATGAAGTTCTAATAGATTTTATCCTAAAACACTAGCCATAAGATGGTAACACAACTCACCAGCTTGTAAAAAAGACAATTAGATCCAAATTTCTTCTGGCAAAACTGGAACTTGTTTACATGGCAAACTTTAGTTGCCCTGATTAGTAACTTCATTAGACCTGTGTATCAAAGTTTTGGGTAAGACAGTTTCCGTGGAAGTTTGATTTCAAGAAACCTTCAGCCATTTTTTTTTTTTCCTTCGGTTGGAAATGAGTTTTCAGTTTACATTTTAGCTAGAACTGGCTGCAGGATCTCCAGGCAGCCTTTCAATTGCAAATAATATAAACTATGAGTTATGTCCACATCAACATAAAAAGTTACAGGTTTTAGAGTAGCCAGAAAAGAGAAAGCATGAGAGACATTTTAATTCAATAGCAGTAGGTCTACCATTTGAGCTCTGAATTTTCCTTGATGTGATTTGCCCTTTCCTAAAAACTTGTGCACAAGAATTGGCTATAACCAGCTGAGCCCTAGAAAACCTGGCATGCCTTTGAACCTCTCCATGTACACAAATACTTGCAAATACAGGTATCATAAACTAACTGGGGTCCCTAAGAGGTCATTCTCTTTGTCTTTCCTCATTTTTAAAGGATCTGTTTCCCATTTTGCTTTAAAAGAAGCAACTGAACTGTAGTCTAGGGTTTTGTGTCATGGATCAGAGTGTGCTGATTGTGGGTGGTGTTCCTCAATGTTCCATTACTGAGTTGGTCCCAGCCTCTTACGCGTCTCAGTTTCTCTCTTTGGGGTCTAGTACCTCTGAGAGGACACAAAATGCCTAGTGATCAGCTCTTATATGCCTTTCCTTGAAGAGCCTTCTTTTAAGTAATTTGTTGGGGGGTTCCCTATGGGGCCACTCACACCTCAGGGAATCGCTCCAGGCAACTCTCACTCAGGACCCCTGTCACCCAGGAGTGCCTTTTGGCTGGGAGGAGTAAAATGCCCTTTCTTTTTCAGAGCTGAGCAACTCAGTCTGTGATTGATCTACAAAAAAGACAGGTCTGTTTCTCCTCACAAAGCATAGAAAACCAACTGAGATTAATTTTAGAATGAAAGGAAATGGAGAAGACCCTATAGAATGCACCAAATCCAAATCTATGATCCCAAACAACAATTCCTAGGAAAAGAACCAGCTCTGAGTAAACCAAGATCATTAACTGAAAAACTGCCAGAGGAGAAGCTCAGAGTCTTCTCCAGGGGGTGCCAAAAGGGCCCAGTCAGTACGTGGAGCGGAGTTTGGGCTACTCCTTCAGGGGTCCTGAGTCTTCTCTGAGCCCCATGTTGGGCACCAATCTTGTCAACAGAAAAGAAACCAAACTCTATAAAATAATTTAAAGAGGTTTATTCTGAGTCAAATTAGAGGACCATGACAAGGAGTCATGCCCAAGAAGCGTTGAGGAAGTGCACTTAATGCAGTTGGGTTACAGTTTGGTTTTATACATTTCAGGGAGACAGGGGTTACAGGCAAAGTCATAAATCAATATATGGAAGGCTTACATTGGTTTTGGCCTAAAAAGGTGGGCCATCTCAAGGCGGGGTAGGCATACAGGTGATAGGTGGGTTTAAAGACTCTTTGATTTGTAACTGATTAAAGACATGAAGTTTTTGTCTAAAGGCTTTGAAAATAAGATAAGTAAGCCTGTAAACCAGAGACAAGCCACTGGACTTATATTTGCTATGTAAATTGAGGACTTGAAGCTTTGTCCTTAGGCCTGTTAATGGGTTACAAAGGATGTCCCCAAGAAGGGAGGGGGCATGATGGGGCATGTCTGACCTCCCTCCTCCTGGCAGGCAATTTAGTTTTAGAATATCCCCTTAGCCCAGGAGGGGGTCCATTCAGTCAGCAGGTTTGGGAGAGGTAGCCTTAATATTTTATTTTAGTTCATAATTATCTTCAATCTTTTCATCTCTTTGCTATAAAGGAACAGTCTTGTTATTCTTTTCTGAACATGTTTGTGTTTTAATCTTTTGATATATGTTACCCAGAACTAAGTATTAGAGTCCAGGTTTGGGTTCCATAACCACTGGGTTTATCACTTCTCTTTTTGTGCCTATGGTTCTAGTTATCTTTTCTTGGTTAATCAAACATTTCAAACACTTCTTAGTGCAAGAAATAAACTGTTTTATTATGTCCAAGGATTCTTCTGGTAAATAATATGGACAGGACAGAGCAGTAAGGCCTGTCTCTGCCCCAGGATGCCTGGACCCTCAGCTGGGAGGACTCAAGTATCTAGGGATGACTCTGATACTTGTCTTTAGAATCTGGAAGCTTCTTCACTTATAGGTCTAGTGTTTTGACAGGATTGGCTGGAAGTCTAGGTATATCTGGGAGTGTCCACTGGACCACCCACATATGGCCTCTCCAGCTTGGCAGCCTCTGGGTACTCAGCCTTCTTGTATGCACTCAGGATTCCCAGGGAGAGTGTTCTGGTAACTGAGGAAGCTGGAAGCCCTTTCTTGGAAGTTGCACATTTTACCCCCAGTGGTCTTTATGGCTTTCTTCCCCACCACTCTTCCTCCCAGTGCTGATGTTTCAGCCAAGCTGGAGTAAAATGCAGTACAGTGAAAGGATCTGATTTTTGCTTAATGAGTTCTTGCTAATTTGTGGGGGGTCTGGATCCTGAGCATCTGATCTTTGTACTGGGTAAGAAACCCATGTGAGGCATCCCCCATGAAACCCTTGCCTTTGTGGGTAGAGTGGACCATTCTCTTTGACTCTCTAGTTTCCATCAAAATAATAGATCTGAAATCTAATTCAAATTAGGGGGGAAAACATGCTTTTGGTTAAGCAAAAATTATATGTATACATGCACACAACTGAAAAATGGTGACAAAGAAGTGGGAAATGTGAACAGAAATTGTGTGATGGGGACTCGGGGTGTTCATTTCCTGTCCTGGGGAGCAGGCAACACAATGGTGAAGGACATGGACTGTGAAACCAGATCATCAGGTGCAAGTCCCAGCTGTGCTGTCTACCAGCTGTGTTCCCTTAGGCAAATGACTGAAGCTCTCTGTGCCTTGCTTGCCACAGCTCTAAAGTGGGAATTGCTACTGTGCCTCATGCTAGGATTGTTATGAGAATGGGTATATGTAGACAGCACTTGGTAAGGATCCACTGTCAGTACTGTCTCTTCTCAAGCTTTGCAAGGTAAACATGTGTTACTTTTATAAGCAGAAAGTTTATATGAGCGTACATTTTAAGAGGCTACCAGGAAAGATCTGGAAAGAAGCAATAACAGCTGAGATGTTTGCTTAGGTGGCAGGAGTACTTGTGACAACTTATGTTTATTGAGAAATACTCTGTACCAGGCGCTGTTGGATGTATTGCCACCACCATTTTGCAAATGAGGGGAAGGAGGTACAGAGAGGTGAGGGGACTGACACAGCCAGTGACTGACTGAAGCTGGTGCTCCCAGGGCAGTAGGAGAGCTGAGTGTGTTATGCAGGGGATGGGGCTCCCCATCTAACAGCCTGCAGTGGTGAATCCATGCCTGGCCGAACTCAGAGTCTTCTTGCTCTCCATTCTAAAGGTAAGGAGACATGTGAAGGGGACCCTCAGGTACTTTGAAATGTGCAGGACATTCTCATTGTCTCTTGCACCCTGCTGTGCAACAGATGTCAGGGCTTCTTCCTCCTGTCTGTCTGAAACTCTGTGCCTTATGACCAACTACGCATGCGCTCCCTCTGCCACCCCCAGCCTCTCATCACCATCAAACTGCTCTGCTTCTATGAGATCAGCTTTGCAGACTCAACACGTAAGTGACATCATGCTGCATTTGCCTTTCTGAGGCGATGGACATGTTAATTAGCTTTCTGTCACATTCCACATAGTGCACACATATAAACTTCACATTGTACTCCATACATGTCTGCAACTATGACTTGTCTATTAAAAATGATAAGAATAAAACTTTAATAAATAAAATGAGATACAGGAAGTATGGCGGGACTGCCCCACATACTTGTGTCTCTGCTTCTACCGTCCTGGCATTTGCTGCCACCACCTTGTTTGCTCGTTTGTGGCAGATGTGTTGGGTGGGTAGGAAGCAGCGTATTCTCAACATGAAGTTCGCAAGTCTCCCAGTGAGCTTCTGCCAGAAGGAAAACTGAAATTTCAGAATATTACCAGCACTATTATGCTAATAGTCACACAAATCATATTTCTTAAAAGTATAATTCCTTTCTTGATTGTCCTCCTTCATATTTTTATTTCTTTTCTTAAAGCTTCCAGAGAATTAGAACTATGGGTCCCTAGAAATAAGGATACTTCACAAAATCATTCAAATGTATTTGAATCTCCCATATTTGCACTGTAATCTCTGATGCCAAAAAAACCCAAAGCTTTGCTGAAGGTGTGAGAGCCAGGGATGGATTTTAGGGACAGCAGCACTGGGTGACCAGTCACTGGGCTGTTAAGCACAAAGAAAATCCCCACTGGGGAACAAAGAGGACCCGCTGGGGGCGGAGGGGCCCTCTTGTCTCCAGGCTCCAGGCCGCGCTGCAGCTCACTCTACTGGCTCGGATGCCTCTGAAGGCCACGGTGGCTGCTTGCTGGCTCCCACCCCCAGCTGTCACCCGCAGCTGTGAGTGTGTTGCCTGCTCTCTGTGCTTCAGCTGTCCACGGCGTTGGCCACCACCACCTTGTTTGCCCATTTGCAGTGGATCTTTTGGGATGACAGGAAGCAGCAAATTTTCGGCAGAAGTTGACAAGTCTCCTGGTGAGCTTCTGCCAGCCCTGGCCGTCTTCACAGGGAAAGGTCTAGGTCTTCCCCTCTGGCCGCCCAGCCTGGAGAGAGTTGGCTTTCCTGGATGTTTCCTGGGGACAGGTGTGTCCTCCTTGCTCTCTGCTATGGCTGCTGGTGCTGTGGGTGGAGGGGGAGGCCATGGGGCCATGCTGGGGGGCTGTGCTGGGGTCGGGACTCCTCTGCAGGTTGTGGAGAGGACTGGCAGTCACTGTGGCTTTCTTGGTCTCCTGTGGCATCTCCTGCCCATTGATCCAAACATCTCTCATAATTTGAAGGAGCATGGATGGGCCTCTCCCTGGGGCCAACCGTCAGGAACTTTTTCAGAAATGTTCTCAATTTTCTTCTGAAAAGAAAATAGGTGTCTCAATCTTGTATGTGTGACATTGCTCTTAAGGGTCCCCCAGTTCTCTCCATCAAGTGGAAGAGTCCTGGCTGTCATGGCATAGAGGACAACCCCCAGGCTCCACACATCCACCTGTGGTGCCATATAGTCCTCGTTCAGGAACTTCTGGGGCACAAAAACATGCAGTTCCACTGAAGGTGTCCATCTTCTTCCCTTCACTAAATGTTGTGGCAAAGCCAAAGTCAGCTAGTTTGATGCTGTCATTGTCATCAAGTATGATGTTTTAGGGCTTCAGGTCCCTGTGGACAATCTGGTCTCACAGCAATATTGCATGGCAGCCGGGTCTGTTGGAATTTGGCTGAGGCCTCCTGCTCCAGGTGGCCATGTCTCAGTATGCACTGGAGAAGGTCTCAAGCACTGGCATATTCTGTTATTAAATACAGGGTGTCTTCAGTCTCAATGACATCCACCACTCAGGATATTTGGATGATGATATTTGCATGATTCGGGTCCCTCATGGCTTTGACCTACATATAGACACTTTGCAGGCCATGGAGGATCTGATTGAACATTGTTTTGATGGCTATCTTGGTCCCAGTAGAAAGGTGCCGGGCCAGCATCACCTTGGTCATCCTGCACCAGCCATTCTTCTTCAGGAGCTTATAGTTGTTAATCACCTCAGTGAACAAATTGGAGGCCAAGCTCTGCTTCTTGGTCACCTCTATCTGTGCTAACTCTACACTAGCTATGCTAAGTAACTGCTGAACAATACCAGCTATACTACCCAGGCTAGAAATACTAAGAGTACTAGCTATATGAACCAGGCTAACAATACCAATAATACTAACTATGCTAACTATACTATGCTAACACTGCTGACAATCTAACTGTACTATGCTAGCCCTACTAGCAAACAATACTGACTATAGTACGCTAATACTACTGACAAACAATACTGACTGTGCTAATTACACAAAATATGCTAACTAACAAGGATGAAACAGTCTTGCTATGGTCAAACTTCACAGATCACCAGCAGCTTCCTGGGTGATAAGGACTGGTTATGGAATTACTGAAGCCTACACTCAGGCTAAGTTTTAGTAATTCTATGACAATGACCCCTTCTGATGTCAGAGCAAGAAATGGGATACTCAGGGCTAGGAATAACCCAGAGTGGTTTTTTTCCTTTTTTGGTTGTAAGAACATTTTTCTCTTTAAAGAAAACAAGCATTTTTTGTTCATGTGGTTATAGAGATTGATATTTAAGTCTATGGTGATACCACACTGAATGGGCTCAATCTTTCAGATCTCAGAAGTTGAGCAGGGTTGGGTATGCTTAGTACTTGGATGGGAGATTGATATTTAGTTTAGTAGAAATTTAAGTCTATACAATGCTTCAGGGACCTTTCCATTTTTAGTAGGAGCTCACGGTGCAGGTTGAGAAAGATTTCTCACACAGAGGTTAAGATATATGTGTAAAAACAGTTATTTTACCCTTTAGAGGGACAGACAGAATAAGAAAGAGGAGAGAGAGAAAGAGAGAGAGAATGGGGGGCAGAGAGAGCAGGGAAATGGCCTGGCATCCCAAAGGAAAAGAATGGAGATGCCAGCAACAAGGCCAAGTGGCTTGCTGCTTTCATGGGGACAAAGAGAAAAATAGTAATTGTTGTGAAGTAATTAGCAGGTAGTGGAAAGACATCAAGTTGTCTGTCTTTCTTGTTTCTTTTGTTCCTGGAGACTTGGTTATCTCTGAAATGTAGTCATTTCAGAGATGTAGTCATTTCAGAGATGTAGTCATTTCAGAGATGTGATTTTTGCCCCTGAGATATGGTTTTGGCCAGAAAATGAAGGCCTGGAGTTTACCCCCCTGCTCTCTCATCTGGGAGCTTCTCAGGAGCAACTTTAGGCTATAGAAACAAATCCTAAAGGCCGGGAGCGGGTGAATGTTAAGAAAAAGATTTACATTTCCTTTATTTTGGCTCTTTTCTGATGTTTGTGAAAACAGAGTCCTAGCAGGTTGCCTGCTGGCAGAGAGAGCTCATAGGATTAATCTTTAGCTGTCATTAGAACATCAGGGGCTAGAGATTTTCCTGTTATTTCAGTAAGGCCCTCCTTACAGTTTGAAAATCTGTAATACTTTTAAAGACCTCATAATGTCTATACTTGAAATATTTGATTTCTTTTTCTTTAAATTCTGACTGGTGCCAGAGTGATGCTACAACATAGCTGACATCATGATACTATAAAAATGTGTTGTGTGGTGTGTGCTACACAATAAGGTCCATTATTAACATCTGTAGAGCTGTCAGGAAGATAACTGTCATAATTAATTACCCCACATGATCATCATCAGATTTGTCATCAGAAACTTTAGAGGCCACGGGGAGAGGCAAGATAGTGGATGAGAAACACCTCCAGCCAGAGTGTGTCTGCAAGAAGATCTTAGATGAAAGTGAAAAAAATCAACAGGCAAACATAGATCAGATGAGAGTCAGAAGAAAGGGTGCCTGAACCTACAGGAGACTCCCCAGGGAGAGGTTGCAGAGTAGAACTGGAAGGAGGAAGGCATCAGCAGGGTCTAAACTCTGAGAGGTTCAGAGATCAGCAACAAGGGTAGGTGGAACAGTTAAATTTCCCCTGCCTTGCATCTTGGACTGTTGGTGAGTTCCTGAGCTGCTAGAGACCTCCCAACACCAGCTCAGAGTTGGTTGCCACCAGTGAATGGTGACCATCTTGTGGACAGGGCACCGAGATCCCAGCTCCCTCAGGACATGTTCTGCCCCCCCCACACACAAGCTGATTTACAAGCATCATATTACTTCATTCTCCCCTTCTCCTCCCCCAGCTGTGGCTACCAAGAGAGAGAATTTAGTCACCATCCAAAGGCATCCACAGGAAATGGGATCTTTCCTCTCGGGGCCGTGCAGCAGACTGAGGGGTACTCGGACTGTGAGCTCCTTACCAGCTGGCTGTCCCTGGTGCTGCTTGCCTGGTGCTTCCTGTAGAGTGGGGCAATATCTGAGACAGAGAGACATTGACCCAGCTTGGGTACCCACCCCATGGGTGACTTGAGACAAGATTCTTCTCCCTGGCATGGTCAGGATTTAATCTCCGGGGCCTGGGGACAGGCCTGCAGGCCAAATCCTGTACATCCAAGTCTGAATTGCATCACCCAGGAGCACAGAAGGGAAACTTGTGAACTAGTCTACTGAGGTGTGTGTACCTTCAAGGGAAGATCACAGTGGGTCCTAGTTGCAATGTGCTCCAAGGGCAACCCTCCTCCCATGGGAGGATCATGCTCCCAGCTCAGGCCATGATCCTGGGAAGGAAACCTCCCGGCTTGCATCACAGTAGGAGAGCTTCAATGGCTTGAGGTCCTTCCTATCAGCAGAGGACTGGGAGAAACCCTGCAATAGGGGAAGCTGGAATGAAGTGAGGCCACCCGCCTAGGACATTTATCTGGCCTGCCGGGTGTTTTTGCCGCCACTGCCTTTCCTGCTTAGCAGCTGACTCATCCCAGGCCCACAGTACGCACTCTCCAATGGTCTGAGGGACAGTGAACTGGTCCCCTGTTTAAAAAGTTTGAGGACCCCTGATCTAAACAAAAATCCAAAGGCAAGAAGGAACAGCTCCTCCAGATGGGAAGAAATAAGTGAAAGAACTCTGGAAGTATGAGGAGTCAAACTGAAAGGACACCCCCAAAATTTCCCTGTCCTTCCTAGAAACCTAGATATCCAGATACAAGAAGCTCAAAATACTCTAGAGAGATTCATTGCAAACAGGAAGACACCATGACACATAGTCATCAGACTGGTCAAAATAAACAAGAAAGAGGCCCTCCTATGAGCTGTAAGGTAAAAGAAGCAGGAAACCTTCAAAGGAAAACCCATCAGACTAACTGCAGAGTTCTCAACTGAGACCTCACAAGCAAGAAGAGACTGGGGCCCCATTCTGACTCTTCTCAAACAGAGTAATGCCCAGCCTGGAATCTTATTTCCTGCAAAAGAAAATTTCTTCTATGAAGGAGAAATAAAGACCTTCTCAGATAAGCAAAGACTGAGGGAATTCATCAGGACAAGCTCTGCCCTCCAGGAAGCATTCAGAACAGTGTTACACACCAAGCTGCACAATAAACACTAGTGTAAAATCATCCAAAAGCTAAAGGTCAAAGGTCAGATACCACAATGGCTCAAGAGAGAAAACAAAGCAACAAGTTTAACTCAACAGGATGAACAGAAATCATCTGCCCCACTAACCAATTCTTTCAATAAATGTAAATGGCTTGAACTGCCCACTAAAGAGACATGGGCTGGCCGAATGGATAAATATACACAAGCCAGGTATCTGCTATCCTCAGGAAATACATCTAACCCACAAAGCTGCACTCAGACTCAAGGTGAAGGGTTAGAAAACAATATTCCATGCAAATGGAAGCCAAAGAAAGCTGGCATAGTAGTTCTGATTTCAGATAACTTAGTCTTGAAATTAACAAAAGTAATGAAGGACAAGATGGACACCATATGAGCAATTTTAAATGTTTATACACCTAACTCAGGTGCACCCAGATTCACAAAACAAATCCTACTTGATCTAAACAAAATGATAAACAGCCACATAGTAATAGCTGGGGATTCCAACACCCCTTTAACAGAACAAGAGAGATACTCCAAACAGAAAATAAACAAAGAAAAAATGGACTTGAACAGAACTCTAGAACAAATTGGCCTGACTGACAGTTACAGAGCATTCTACCCCAAAACCACTGAATATATGTTTTTTTCATCAGCTCATGGTACATTCTCTAGGATTGACCACATCCTAGGCCACAAAGCATGTCTCAAAACATTTTAAAAAATAGAAATTATACCTTGCATCTTCTCAGACCACAGTGGAATAAAATTAGAACTCAACTCCAACAGAAACTCTCATCTCTACACAAAGTCATTGAAACTAGACAAACTTCTGCTGGATGATTATTGGATTAAGGTGGAAATTCAAATGGAAATCAAAAGATTCTTTCAACTAAATGATAAAGAAGACACATGCTATCAAAATCTGTGGGACATAGCTAAAGCTAACACTGAGAGGAAAATTTATATCCATAAATGCCTACATCCAAAAGGCAGATCAAAAATGAGCAATCTAATGAATTGACTCAAAGAACTCGAAAAGAATGAGCACACCAACCCCAAAACCAGCAGAAGAAAAGAAATAACAAAGATCACAGCAGAACTAAATGAAATCGATAATTTAAAAAAACTATATGGAAGATTAATAAAACAAAAAGTTGGTTCTTTGAAAAAAATAAACAAAATTGACAATCTTCCTGCTAGATTAACCAGCAGCAGAAAAGAAAGGACACTAATAAGCTCAATCAGGAATGAAAAAAGAGAAATTACCACTGATACCATGGAAATACAAAATATCATCTATGAATACTATAAAAACCTCTATGCAAATAAACTTTAAAATGTGGAAGAAATGGACAAACACTTAGAAACACACAGCCTCCCTCATTTTAATCAGGAAGAAATAGAATTCCTGAACAGACCAATATCAAGTACCAAAATTGAAGCAGCAATAAAAATCCTTCCTAAAAAAAAAGTCCCAGACCAAATGGTTTCACACCCCAATTTGACCAGACCTATAAAGAAGAACTGGTGCCTACCCTGCAGAAATTATTCCACAATATAGAGAAGAAAAGAATCCTCCCCAACATGTTTTCTGAAGCCAATATCACCCTGATACCAATGCTGGGAATGGACTCAACAAAAAAAGAAAACTAGAGACCAATATCTGCTATGAATATAGATGCAAAAATTCTCAATAAAATCCTAGCAAATAAAATTCAGCTGCTCATCAAAAAAAAATAATCCATGAGGACAAAGTGAGCTTCATTCCAGAGATGCAGTGATGGTTCAACATATGCAAATCTATCAATGTAATTCACCACATAAATAGAAGTAAAAACAAGGACCATACGATCCTCTTAATGGATGCAGAAAAAGCATCGGACAAAATTTAGCACACTTTTATGATAAGAACACTTAACAAAATAGGCATAGACAGGACCTACTTAAAAATAATCAAAGACTTTGCTTCCTGATTCCTAGTTCTTAAAAAGAAAATAAAAATAAAAAATAAGAAAAGCATAATAGAAAAATAAAAAAGTAATCAAAGCCATATATGACAAACCTACAGCCAACATTATACTGAATGGGGAAAAGTTGAAAGCATTCCCTCTTAGAACTGGAACTAGACAAGGTTACCCTCTATCACTACTTCTATTCAACATTGTGCTAGAAGTCCTAGCCAGAGCAATCAGACAAGAGAAAGAAATCAAGGGCATCCAAACGGGGGCAGAAGAGGTCAAACTATCAATCACTCTTTGCTGACGATACAATCTTATATCTAGAAACCCCCAAAGATTCTGCCATGAGACTACTGGAATTGATAGACAAACTCAGCAAAGTCTCAGGTTCAAAATCAATTTACAGAAATGAGT